AACACAACATTACAGATACTCCTTGATGAGGGTCATGTTTTAAACGGGTGTTACTGCTACTAGTAGTATTACTAATTATAGTAGCACTACTAATCCAACATTCCTCCTACTGCTACTTCTAGTGAGTGAGTGAACAGGTTTGTGTGTGTGTGTTGTTAATTGTTTCCCTTGAGTGCTTGGGAAAGGCTGCAGTTGGACACATACTTCTTTGGGGGAAATGGATGTTTGATTAAAATCAGTGGGGCTTACTTCTGAGAAAATATGGAAGGGAGAGTGACACCCAAGATGCAGTCTACGGGGCGGGGGGGGGGGGGGTAGTGTGCGAGTTCCACTGAACGCTTCCTAACTTACAGTTTCCATCTATCCCTATGGGGCTTGCACAGCACAAACTTCCGGGTGAATTATGCCCTGAGACTTGAGCCCTGCCAGTAACTTGTTTCTTTCCCTTGCATAATTTTGGTAATGATGGTAAAAGGGAACTCTTGAGCCAGCCAGCCCATATGGGAAAAGCACTCCTTTCTTCCTGGATTTGTTTTAGTGTTTGTTCATTTGATAAAGATGACAGGATTGTGAAAATAGACATTCTGGTCATTCTGTTTTTTTAAAACATCCTTTTATTAATGTCATTTCCTTAGCCCATCTTTTGAAGAAAATGCATCCCTTGATTCAGTTATACGCCGATATCCAGAGCTACATGCAAATAGTCCCCAGTTAAATCTCTAGTATTTCAGCCAGCATGAGCACAGTAAGAGCAGGGAAGCTATTTGAAGCAGTCACCCTACGAGATAGTTCAGTTTGTTTACGCAACTGTCACCCACATATATAGACCTAGATCTAAACAAATTATTTTCTATCTTTATGATTTATGTAACTAATTTATTGATTTGATTGGACAACAAGCTTTGTATGGGGGAAATGCAGATTTTTCAGTTTAAGTTGGAAGACTATTTTTGTTCCTAAACTCTGTCTCTGGGACTTCATATTTAGCTTCTTTTCTAGTTAACCCATTCGAGCTGCAGTTTCCCTAGGGAAAAGTCCTTTTTCAAAAGGAAAAAGAGGAAACATACCTCATACTGTCCCGGAGATACAAAATAAAGGGGTAAATAAATGAAAATGGGGTGATAATGATGGATGTTATTTTAGCACAAAACCTGTTCATTTTTCTCTCATGGCAAAACTCCTATTTTGTCTTCCAGTCTGTTCTACATCGCTTCTGAAAAGAATGTCGAGTTCATTCCCGGTTTGTATAAACTGACTTCTGCTGGCGTTTCACTGGTTTACTTCCAGGTAAACGTGTTTAGGAGGAGACTGGCTAGACCCTTCCGTCCCGCAGACGAGACTACGGCTTTCAGAGGAACCTCGTTCCCTCTATAGGGAGACCCTTGCTGAGACTTCTAGCCCCATCCAATTTCCTTGAAAATCCTGTTGTTTTCAATGGAATTCCATTCCAGGGAGCGCCGCTGAAATCGGTTCCACTTAACTCAGTTATGCTAGTTTAGGAATCGAATTTCTGTCTCCAATCTTGAACATATTTCAGTAGGCAATAAAAATGATGCATTTACGTAGAACTTGCTACCTGATAAATGTCTTTAGGAGTAGGCTTTTAATTTTTCCATTTACAAATAAATACATGTTAGATCTAACAAAAGAAATTCCTAATATCTTTCCGATTAAATTAGCACATAGGAGGGGGCACAATTTTGGTGATGACAAAGTCTGGTCTCTGTCTCTGTCTGTCTGTCTGTCTCTCTCTCTCTCTCTCTCTCTATATATATATATATATATAAAATCGTCTCCCTGTCGCTGTTTTTCAGATTTATTTCCGTCCTTATTTTCTCTGTCACCTAGATCCAGCTAAAGGTCTTTGTGACTAATGTCCCATTAAACCAAAGAAAAAGTGAAATTATTAGTCGGGCCCCTCTTAAGTCGAACTACTTTCAGTGGTGCTCAACTGGGACTAACTTTAGCTGGGTTGTAGCCAGGAGCGTTTTAAATTGCCGTTGCTGAAAAGTTCAACTCAAGATGGGCTTCCTTCTGCCTAAGAGAGAATCCCGCAGAGGCCAGGCGACTCCAGACCTGCACGGCTGCGGTCCTGAAAGAGCAGACACCTTCTCTTCCCGACACTTCCCTCGCCCCTCCCCACCCCCCCTCCCCACCCCCACCCCAAGTTTCCCCAGCTTGCCTTTTTCTCTGAGGATTTCCCAATGCCCGTCCAGAAGTGGATTTTAGAAATACTCGAACGCATTTGGGCTGATTTGGTTTTTATTAAGTCATAAGAGAGAGGGGGAGAGACAGAGAGGCTGAGCGAGAGGGGCATAAAAGGAGGGGGAGAGGGGGGAGGCCCCCAAAAACGAGGAAAGAATTAAGCAGGTAATAAAGAGAGTAAGGAAAGAAAAGCCGCTGAAAGCTTTCTTGGATCAGAAACCTGCCTGAACTCTGCCCGAAAAAGACTTGTGAGGTTCTTTGGCAGTCAAGTCGGCACAACCGTTTGGGGGCTTTTATTTGCACCACGACGCAACCTCACGCCTTTCTGCGGGACCCTTTGCTGCTGTTTTAACAGGAAGCAAGGAAGAGCTCCAGCCGATAAGCCAGCGCCATAAAGTGTGTGTGCTCCTTCCTCGACTGAAACTCTTACGACCGAGATTAGTTATAGGTGACCTTTCCATCTCCCAAAGCACCAGCTCGCTCAGGCCCCGGACTTGGCGATCCACCAGCTCGCACTTGAGTCTTCCCTCGGATGGACGCTCTGGTTCAGAACCAGGACCGTCCCCGCCAAGGGATGAAGACCTCAGGTGCTTCTCAGCTGGGAGAGGGAATCCTTTCCTGCGCCCGCTCAAACAGGTGCCTGGCCCAAGCCGATTCAAGGCGCTCTTTCGAAGTCGGTGGAAATCCCTTCCAGGGTAGCTCGCTCAGCTCATAAAACGGCTCAGGCGCGAATCGTCCGCTTCAGCTCTCTTGCGGATTGCGCCCTAATTGGCTAAAGCGAAGCTCCTCGGCTTAGATTAATTCCCTAGATTAAAAAAGAGAAATACGAATTCCCTTTGCCATGACTTGTAAGCGCTCATCGAGCGATGTAAGATTCTGGATCTAGCTATTTGCCCGTCTGTCTAGCCCTTTCTCTCAAGAAGCAGCCACCCCCCACCCCCCACCCCGCACAATCGTTATGCAGGCAGAATGCACCTAGATAAACGTTGCTGCGGATCCCCACTACCTCCAGTTCCCTTTTCTTAACCCGATGGTGCCGTCGTCTTCTCTGCAAACTCTTTGCAGCAGTAGCGGCCCGCGAAGAAAGGGTTAAGCATCCTTTTGACTGAGGAGCCGCTGATGCCGTTTGCGAAATATCTTTATTACTGGGAACTTCAAGGTAAAGGCGGGGGGGGGGGCGAGCCAGCGAGCGCGAAATGCAAACCAGATGTGGGGATGGAAAAATGAGGGATTACAAAGGAAGACGGAGAAAATGGAGCGTAAAGGGGCGGCAGGAGTTAAAACGCGGAGGAGGAGCTCCGCCAAGGCGAGAGGACCTTCCCGTCACGGGGTCCGTGGCAGAGGCCCGAAGCCGACCCGCGCGCATCCGCAGCATCCTGGGGCGGGCGGCGCATCCTTCCAGCCTGCGGAGGCCCCGTCCGCGCTTCCTTCCGGGGAGCCCGGCCGCAGCGGTCCTGCCGTCGAGTCCCTTCGGGGGCCGGCCTTGCTGCGAGACCACGAGAAGCCAGGCCACGCACAGCGAAGAGCGCGCTCTCTCTGTTGGCTCGTTTGAATCCGTGGCTGGCGCTGGAGGCGAAGGAGATCTCGTTCCGTGGCAGGAACCGGGCTCCTCGCTTCTCCTCTTCCCGCTCCCCGACCTAGTTTTTGTAACAGTTGGCACTGGGCAGACAGGCAGGGATTCAACTGGTGAGGCTTTCCTCGCAGCAACCTTGATATATAAAGGAAAGCTGGACCCGTAGAATTTAGACCTGCCCCTCGCGGTTTCTCAGGCGGAAAAACCCCTGGCTGGGAACAGTCAAAAGAGGAGCGACGCGCCGGCAGACCCGGCTAGGAAGGGCGGGCGACGTGGTCCGCCGCCAGCCACGTAAAAGATGCTCCCCAAAGTAACCATTGCGACAGAAAGGGAGGGCGAGGAGGATCCCCCTGCGTCTGCGCAGGTCGAGGATGGGGGCCAGAACAGAAGGGCCTCAAGCCCTATAGCTGCCTGGCCAAGGCACCGGGGACGACGGGCCGGAGCGAACCGAGGGGTGTCGCGGGCGTGACATTTCTGCCTGCTCGTTCGCTTCGCGCAGATCCTCAGATTCAGCCGTTCTAATTGCATTACGCCCTTTGCCTGTATTTCATTGTTCGGGGATGATGATGATGATGATGATGATGATGATGATGATGATGATGATGATGATGCCTAAATAAAGTCTTTCCACGAAAACGGACCCCCCTCCCCTGTAACCCCTGACCTTTCTTCCTTCCTCTACCTCTACATAGGGATGGGAGCGGGGTAGGGGAGGAGGTCGTTCTTTGGGGTGGGTGTGGGTGGCTGACGAGAGGAGGAAAAACTGGGCAAGGAAGAGGAGGCGGCGGGAAAGAGGGGGCGAAGGAAGAGCTCCTTGAGGAGGTATTCCTTCCCTTCCTCACCCCACCCTGGCCCACCCCGCCTTCCCACGGCTCCTGCTTCCTTCACTCTCGGAGCTGGAGAACTAGAGAGCGAGAGGGGAGGCGAGAGCAGAGAGACCCTTTCCCCTTTCTCCGGATCGGGGGGGGGGGGCGGCTTTGGGTGCGCGCGCGGGTGAGGGGGGAGAAATCTGCTTCGCTTTCGGGAACATCTGAATTCTCTTAGTGCTCGCCGGGCTCCGCGTGCGTGTGTGCGTGTGTGTGTGAGAGAGAGAGAGAGAGAAAGCGAGAGAGAGAGAGAGAAAGGGGGAGGATCGAGGGGGGGGGGGGGAGAAAGAGAGAAAGCCAGAGAAAGTTTCTTGGTGCTGCGTGAGGACACCGCCGGGCCCTCTTTAATTTGAGGCATGAATGCCGAAAGTTGCGCACCCTTTTGCGACCCAGCCGCCGCCGCCGCCGCCGCTGCCATGGATTCCTTCTACAACGCCGCCTCGCAGGGCAGCGCCGACGGCTCCTCGCCTTTTAGGGCATTTCCCGGAGGAGGCGGCGGCGGCGACAAGTTCAGTCCCGCTTTCCTGGCCAGCAAAGGGCAAAGCTTCGGCGGCGGAGACGGTGGCGGCGGCGGCGGCGGCGGCAGCGGCAGCAACAGCCCCAAGTGCCGCAGCCGCTACAGCCAGCCGGAGTGCCCGACCCTGGACGGCGGCGGGCAGCCGCAGCAGGCGCTCTCCGCCGCCGCCTTCAACAAGTACCACCCGCCGCCGCCGCCGCTCTACGCGCAGAGGGGCTCCTGCAAAAGCCCCCCGGGCGCCGGCCTCAAGCTGCAAGACGCCAGCGGCCACAACGGAGCGCTGCAGCTCTCCTGCTACGGTGAGTCCCCGCGTCGGGCCGGGCTGGCGGAGCTAGCGGGACTGCCCTGACCCCCGTCCCCCGCCCCGCTCCAGCGGGCGTCTCGATGGCCGCCCCGCTCGCGCCGGGCTGGGCGAGTCCCGTACAGACGCGGAGTCACTCCGGAGTCGCGGCTGGCCGTGGGCGCGCTGCGTTCTCGAGGGATGCGAATTCGGAGAGGAGCGTGTCCACTCGCGCATGGACACGCGCCCGCGCGCAGGCCGCCCCTTGGAGCGTCCCGCTCAGAGTGCTCCTGGGTTCCCAGGGGTGCGCGGAGGAAGCCCGCGAGCACAGCCAGCGCTGCAGGGCTGGGGCTCGAGGGAGAGAGAGGGCTGCCGAGACGGAAACGGCCGGGCGATGCGCTGAACGCTCCGCCACGAGCCGCGACCCTTTTCTGCGGGGCCACTCGCGCATTTCCCCGTGGGCTGGATCCCCGCGCTAGCCGTGCCCACGCGTCAAAGCTCAGGGAACCCTGTGGGTCTGGTGGTGCGCTAAGGGAGACCCTCTAGAATTCAGTGCTATTGAACACAGACAACACCTGAATAAAGTACTTCGAATTTGAGTAAATCGGTTTAACGGGCTTGTGGATTGGAATGGACATTTTCCACCCAACCGGAAAAGAATTATTTCCTACTCCTTATACCGGAACTTCCTTCAAAATAACGCGTTCCGGATTGCAGTAATTAAAAAGAGAAACGCCCGTTTGGGAGTCCAGTGGGATCTGGGAGCCAAAGGAAACCCATTTTGCTTTAGTGGTTCGTTTAGAGTAACTTTCCAAAGCGTCGGTCCTAATTTTTTCATTTCTCATTTTCTGGCCGAGTATATACCACCCCCTTTCTTCTCTCTTGCTCTTTGTGTTCCTTCTTTATCCTCTTCCTCTCTGTTGCTAAGAAAGACAAGAGAAAAGGCATCTCTTGCCCCCCGCTGGGCTGTGCCACGCAGAGGCTTCACCGGGACTTGCGCAATGCCAGATTCACCCTCGCTGCGAGTCCAGTGGCGCGGTTCGACCGGCAGGCAAGCGTTCTCTGAGAAGCGCTTGTTCTGGCGGCAGAAATTAGCTATAAGGAAAAGTGAAAATACGTTTCATGCCTGGGTCTCCTCTCTTCACAGTCGCTCGTCCTCACAACACCCCCAGTTCATTTTACTTCTCAGATTTACTAATCGCATCCACTTCGAATACAATCCCGGTTATTTCAGCAGGACACCTTTCGGAGTAAACGGGTTTCAGATTGCCGTCTAAAAGCTGCAGTCTTGAGTTTCAGCGTCGATGTTACATCTTACTTCCGAGAAAGTGTTTAGAAATGGGGTAGATTTCTTGACCGACAGAAGGCACAATATCCTCTCCCCGCCGCGTTCTTAAATGCCACAAAAATTACCCCAGGAGAGCCTCTTGAAAAGGACCAGGATGCAGAGAGAAGACCGAGTTCCATCAAGTAGTGGGAGGCAAGAACATCTGGACAGGTTACTGGTAAATACGAGTGAAGCCCCTTTGCTTAGGTGTCGCTTTGGCTGGGTTTTGGCCAATAACAGAGAAGCAGCAACCCACCTTTCACCACCCTGAACGGGGTTGCTTACCGGAACATTTCCTTATTACCCTTTTGATAGCCTCCTTGCCTTTCCTCCCCACAACAGCCCTGTGAGGTTGGTATGCAGTCCCGACAGAAACTGTCTTGGCTCAAGGGCACCACATGAGTTCCAAGGCAGATCGGGGAATCTGAACTCAGATCTTCCCGTGCAGCGTTTGTCCTCTACACCCCGCTGACCCTGGTTCCGGCCTCTTGCCTTCGCCTTGCCTTTGCTTTTTCTCCCCCCTCGGTTACCTCTCACTCACGTTCCCATCTCTAGAAGGCACCTTCCTCTACCCACCCCCACCCCACTGCACCCCCCAAAGCCTTCGGAAGTCTGGGAGTGTCTTCTGTCTGGAGGGAAAGCGGTGGGGCCTCAGGTTACGTTAACAAGTTATCCATCACCCTGAGCAGCCGATTTCTTCGTATGCCTTCTGGCTTCACTCACTCCCCAAGGTAACCACCCGAGTTCCGGACTCCAGCGAGGTCCCGCTAGGTCTGGATTCCCGCTATCTTGGTCGCCATCTGCCTGTTAGTTTGCCCCTGTTGTGGACGAAATTTCAAAAGGCACCGGAAAGTCTTGTGCGCAATTGCGCATCTCCCTTAAAACGCAGCGCCCTGGTGCGGGAGGCGGGGAGACTTTCTCCGAGCCTTGGGAAAAGTGTAAGCCCCGTGCGGCTAAGCCGTCAGCAAGGCGAAGGTAGACAGCCCCGCGAGAAGGCCTGTGCAAACGTGCGCGTGTTCCAGGAGCTTCCCACTCAGGACATTTTGGAGAGGGGAGGGACTGAATTCCCTTTTCGAGAAAGGGCCTTGCGATTAAGAATTTCAGGCAACGGAGTTTTCCCTTTGCCCACTCCCACCTTGAACAAAATCTTGAAGAGCAGCTACTGCCAATCGCCGGCCACCCCACCCCGCGCGCGCTCATTCCCCAGACAAGAACCAGTCCCATCTGCAACCCAGTCAACGGCCAGAAGAATCGAGCAGGAGCTGAATTCAGTTCTGCGTCTGCACGAACCATTCCCCCCGTCTCCGGAAGCCTCGATAAATCATTTTCTTGCAGACGGTGCTCTTTGCTTCATTATGCAGGGCAAATTTAGTGGCATTCGGGCTTGCTCTGCAAGGGAGCGCTTAGCTGCCCGAGACTCAGCAAAAGGCAGCTGTCGAAACATCTTGGGGCAGAGGAGAACGGAAGAAGGAAAGCCGCAGCTTATAACAAGTCCCCGGTGCTGCACCGAGGGTGGGTAAAACTCACAGGCCCCGATTCCGCCCTGCTTATGTTTGTACTTTCGGATTTTTTACAATGCCCCCCCCCCCAAAAGCGGAGGCCCTCCAAATCGGGTCCTGGAGGAAAGATGCTCCAGCAGAGGGCAGATTTATTGCCCCACGAGGCGGGGTGGGGGGGCTTCGAACACTTCTGAGAGGTCCCTCTTCCCCGCCGAAAGCCAGTTTCTCCCGTGGTCGGCTTGCACCCAAGGCGTGGACCTCTTTAGGGGCGCGCGCCTTCGCGAAGGCTTCGAGGGCATCCCCGGGGAAGGGGCGCGAGGGCCGCACTCCTTTCGCCCCATCAGGCGGCGCCAGCGCGCTCCCTCTCACCTGCCCCATAAGGTGTCCTTAGCCGCAACCTTTGCCCTCCTGCTTTCCCCAGCCGGCATTGCTGAGCGTTCAAGATGATAAATCAGGAGGACGTGATGGAGAAGGGGGAGAGAAGTGCCCCTCTTAAAAATATTCCCGACACCTGCTGTGGGTCTGTTTTAAATGACTGTTTGCGCACTGCTGGACTCCGCTAACCGCTCTGAGACAAGCGTGTTGGAACTCGGATGCTAGCGCCAGTGCACTCCAGTTGCGCGCAGACCCTTAACCCCCTCCTGAGCATCAGCAGACTTCGATCCTCACCGCTTCGGCTGCATCATGAACTGCTCGACAGCTCGAAATCAGGAGGCCCGGCGATGGGATGGGGGCGGCCTCGTGCAGAGACGGCCCTGATGCGGTGCTGTGGTTTTCTCATAGTATCCTAAACCTATTTTCTAGGAAACAAGGCTCCTCGAAGACAGTCGGACTTCCCTGAGAATGTCTTAGGGTCGATGGTGACAGGGCCGTCTTAACGCATTCCCTGATGGGCTCTTACCCGTGGGCCCCATACTAATCTGTGTATGCTAACCCTTGGAAAATGGGAAAACTTCCAAAATTAACAGTTGTTGCAGTGTCGTAGGGGCCCCAGTGCACCGCTTTGCCCAGGGCCCACAATGCTGTCAAGACGGCCCTGGATGGTGATCCTCATAAATATAATATGAACAACAATAACCTTCGTTCTAGTACATCATGTATACCCTCTTCAGAAACCTTACAAACGCAGAGTCACCCACGTTGACTTCTACCTGATATTTAAGGGGGGGGGGGATAAAATACACAGCAATACATCCTTGCTAAGGATGCAATCCTAGGCTTCCCAAAGACCTTTAAATCGGAGGTCTTTTCCCACTGCAGGCTTTCAAAGGGTTTTGCAGCATTTTGTGTGATGTGGCTCGAAGGACAAGGACATTTAACGAGAGGCGCATGGATTTGCGGGGAGGATTAATCGTCATAATAGGAAGCATTGGTTAAGGAACCATGTTCGAGTGGCATGTATCAAATGGAGGGTTAGGGAGTGGTGAAGGGCTTTCCCGGCCACAGGAATATGGGATGCCCCGTCTCGTGGAAGCAGGGATGGATAGATGCCGGCTGCGATGGGAATGGGCGTCCTTGAAGCTCCTTAATGGTTGGAAGGGCGCCTTCGATTTCGCAGCGGGGCCACGCGTTTGCTGGCGGAGTGCCACGCGTGGAGGTGACCTGCATGCGGCTTTTGCACGTACGGGAGCGAAATGCATCCACACACACACACACACACACACGGGCGGTTTCATCCCAAGCACGGCCCGAGGCTCGGGCCTTGGTCTGAGAGCTGGAAAGCGAACAGCAGCCCGTTTGAGAACGGCTCGGGTTGTGTCAGAGGCCGCTTTCCCCGGAGAGACGCGGCTCCCTTAGCCCGTCAAGGCTGCTGCTCCCACCGCCGCGCAATTGCAGACGAGGCTCCCGGTTAGCCACTTCTGCAATTGGATCCTTTAACGATTTGTAGGCCTTGGAAATGACCGTAAACTGCAATAAGCACTAATAGCTTTGGAGTGTCGTTTTGGTTAACCAGCGCGGGGCAAGATTTGCCAAACCCCCAGCTCCTGTTTTCTTCGCCCGGGTTCGGGCTTCCTCCAAGGGACTCCCTGGGGAGGTCAATCGCCTCCTGATTAGAGAGAGATCCGTGAGAAGGCAATGTGCGAGCGCGCGAGGCGGGGGGCGTAAAACAACAGGGCGGAGAAAAATTGACTGGTGACTGAACCAGCCTGGGCGTTGGGAGAGCTTCTCATTGCGCAGATCTTGAAACCATTT